AACCATATATCTGTAATCCGAGCACCAGAGAGGTAGACAGAGGACCATCTTTGGAACTTGATGGCAAAGTAGGTTCAGTGAGAGACCCTGTCTCATGACACCCGCTATGCACCTTAAGCTCCTATGCCCACATACATGCACAGAAATACATACATACACATATATAAAACCTTTTGGACCCTAGGCTATTGCTCAGTTGATTAGGTGTTTACTTAGCAAGCTCGAAGCCCTGAGTTCAGTTCTCAGCAACCCTCAAAACTGGGCATGGTGGTGAGTGCCTGTGATCCCAACACCAGAAGTAGAGCCTGGAGGATCAACAGTTTAAGATCCTTCTCTGCTAAAATATTGAGCTCTGGGCTAGCCTGGGTTACAGGAGACCTTGTCCCCTAAAATAAAAGTCAATTTGACCTCTCCAGGTTCTAGTTTGCTCACTTTCAAATAACGTGACACTTGATTGCTAGTATAACTCTGGGAGAGCCTAGTAGCACTGTAGGATAGATACTCGGAGGCCTGCAAAGTAAAGGGCTTTGTTTCTTAAGTTTTAGTTCAGACAAACAGTATTATAAAGTGCAACTCCTAGGAAAGCTAACAGGAGGGGCTGGAGAGATGGCTCAGCACAGACTGTTCTTCCTTAGGACCCAGGTTCAACTCTCAGTCCCCACATGGTGGCTACAGACCATCTGTGACTCCATCTCCAGGGAGCCTGACTCCCTCTTCTAGCCTAGCCCTCTCAGGCACCAGCCATGCACATGATGATACACAGGCATACATGCAGGCAAACCACCCAGATACACAAAATAAGAACAATATTTTTTTAAAAGTAAACAGATAATCTGAGCTAATTTTTGCTGTCCATTTGGCAAATCTTCCACAGAATTCATCATTGCCATTAATGCTCTGTTTTGTCTCTTTAGTATTCAATTACTAGTTCACTGGCAAAGCCACCTCTCACCTCCTCAGACTACACTCATTTACAGACTCAATAAACTCCACACCTCCAGACAAGATAAAAGAAAGTGAGAACGAAATAAACTCTATGTGGTTAAACACACCTGTAATCACCACAGTCAGGAGGGAGAGCAGTTTTGAGGAGCTTCATTTATGGAGTGAGTTCTAAGCCTGTCAGGGCTATATACTGAGATCCGGTCTGTGAAATAAAGAAAGGGAGGGAGGGAGTCAATCAGTCAGTCAGTCCAACTAGGTGGCTCAGTGGGTAAAGGCAATTATCACCAAATTTGATGACCAGAATTCAATCCTCAGGACCTACATGGTGCAGACACACACACACACACACATACACACACACACACACACACACACACACACACACACACACTACATAATACATAAAAAGGCAAATAAAGGAAACATAAAATAAAAGTAGAAAAGGAAAACCAGACAAGGCCATCAGGTACCTCACCAGGCAGTGTAGTTGTGAGGTCAAGGGACATCTTGTTCTGGAACAGCTAAATTAATCACACAACCACCACCAGCAGCCCATGAGCCTGCCCGGACACCTCCAACAGTTGATGCCAGCTTTCCAACTTTCATAATTCCAAGTGATATAAATTAAGCCAGGTGTAGTAGTGCACACCTTTAATCCCAGCGGGTGGGGGGGGGGGGCGGGGGCGGGGGGCGGGGGGGGGGGGCCCAGGAGGCAGAGGGAGTATCTCTGTGAGTTTGAGGTCAGCCTGGTCTACATGAGTTCCAGGACAGCCAAGGCTACAACAACAAATAAACAACAACAAAAAATACTTTATCTTCTCACTTTTAAAAATTCTTATTTTTATGTATGTGTCTGGAGTATACTACATATATATATATAAATAAATAATTATATATATATATATATATTTTTTTTATTTTTTATTTTTTTATATATATATATATATATATAAAACCAGAAGATGTCCTCAGAGACCAGAAGGCATTAGACCTGACATGGTTGTGGGGAACTGAACTCAGATCCTCTGCTACAGCGCCAAGTGTTTCTAACCACTGAATTATATTCCCAGTCCTGTGCTTGTTTGCTGGTTTGTGACAGGGTCTCCCTATGCAACCCTCGATGACCTGGTTTCACAGAGGTCGGCCGGCTTCTGCCTCCTGAGTGCTAGGATTAAAGGTGTGCGCCACCATGCCCAGCACTTTCTTTTAATCACCTGGTTGTTTGGCTACCTTTTTGGCGACTCCTGGAATTTGCTCTTTCATAGTCTTTGCTTATATGTCTCTGGGTGTTACTTTTTCACATTAACTTAAAGGTAATTCATGAAAACAAAAAAATTATGCAAATTAACAGGATGTGGTATTTTGATATATGTATACATCACACAATGATCTTTTGGTTTGTATTTTCAGGATAGGGTTTCTCTGTGTAGCGCTGGCTGTCCTAGAACTCTCTGTAGACCAAGCTGGCCTTGAACTGCCTGTTTCTACCTCCTGAGTGCTGGAATGAGAGGTGTGTGCCACCACCAACTGGCATTTTTTAAATTTAAATTTATTTGGGTTTCCAAGGCAGGGTTTCCCTGTGCAGTCTTAGCTCTCCAGGAACTAGCTCTTTAGACTAGGCTGGCCTGGAGATCCTCTTGCCTCTGCCTCAGAAGTGGGATTCAAGGTAAGCTCATGTTTGGAATTTAATTATGGTGAAAACATTAAGGAACCTTTTTTCTACTTTTTTGTTTTGTTTTTGTTTTTTGAGACACGGTTTCTCTGTGTAACAGAGCCCCGGCTAACTTGAACTCTCTGTAAACCAGACTGCTCTCAAAATCAAAGAGATCTGCCTGGCTCCCCAGAGATGGGACTGAAGCCCATGTGCACCACCACGCCTGGCTTTCTTCTACTTTTAAAGAAGAAACTATTCTGTGAGTGTGTGCACGTGCACATAAGATGCCTGTGGAGATCAGAGAACAACTAACAGAAGTTGGCTCTCCCATTCATCATGTAGGCCCTAGGACTAGAACTCAGCCTGTCTGGCTTGCTGGCAAATCCTTTTACCCACTGAGGTATTGTGCCAACTCTCTTATTTTTTTTTTAAATATGTTATTTTATGAGTATAGGTATTTTGGGCTGGTGAGATGGCTCAGTGGCTAAGAGCACTGACTGCTCTTCCAGAGGTCATGAGTTCAAATCCCAGCAACCACATGGTGGCTCACAACCATCTGCAATGATATCTGATGCCCTCTTGTGGGGTGTCTGAAGACAGCTACAGTGTACTTACATATAATGAATAAATAAATAAATAAATAAATAAATAGTTTAAAAAAATGAGTATAGGTATTTTGCCTACATGTATGACTATGCCCATGGAGGCCATATGAAGACATCTGATATCCTGAAACTGGAGTTACAGATCGTTGTGAGCTGCCATGTGGGTGCAGGGACTTGAACCCTGGTCCTCTGGAAGAGTAGCCAGTGTTCTTCAGCTCCAAGTCGTTTCTCCAGCCCTTCTTCTACCCTTTGAATCCCTGTCTGTGCAACAGCACACCAGAACATCTTGCTCCTCCTGTCTACCCGAACTTCATACCCACCAGTCAGCACTACGACGCCGCAGCCTCTGGAAAGCGCCAATCTCTTCTCAAGCATCAGACATGCATGTCTTCAGAGTCCACATGAGCCCATTCAATGCACTTGCTTCACTCAGCACACTATCCATCCACGCTGCTGAAAAGAACGGGACTTTTATGACAGAACAGCATTCCGCCTGGTTTTGTACCATATTCTGTACTCATTCAGTATTCTATTCCTTGTTCATTTACATTTTTATAATAAGTGTGAAACTGAAAAACATGCTAAGAGGCAGGAAGGTGTCTCTGCATTCATTAAGAGAACTTTGATTTCTTTATGTCTATCATTGCTATTGATTTTCTAATGTTATCTAGGCATTCTTGAGATAAATATAATTGGTCATGTTTTTAATACAAATAATTTATTGGGTTGGGTTACCTGGTATATTATAGGTATCTACACATAAACAAGAGTAGATCCCTTTTCAAGGTTTACCTTGTTCTCAAATTAATATGGCCTTAATTCCATTTTACCAGTTTTCAGGATTTATGCTTTAATTCTGGCTTCTCTGTTGTAGTGGTTTGAATTAGAATGGTTCCGTCCTAGACCCACCCTCTGAAGTTGTAAGCACAGCCCCAATTAAATGTTTTCTTCTAAGGCTAGAGAGATGGCTCAGAGGTTAAAAGCACTGTCTACTCTTCCAGAGACCCTGAGCTCAATTCCCAGCAACCACATGGTGACGCATAATCGTCTGTAATGACGTCTGGTGCCCTCTTCTGGCCTTCAAGCATACATGCAGGCAGAACATGGTACACATAATAAATAGGTCTAAAAAAATCTTTAAAAATAAACAAATAAATGTTTTCTTCTATGTGTATCCCTGGCCATGGTGTTTTTCACGGCAGTGGAACACCTAGTATATTTTCCCCAACAACTGTGAGATATAATTTACATACCATAAATTCACCCACTTACAATGGGGGGAGGAGCTGGTTAAGGCCGCTGCAAAGGTAGTAAACTGTACTTAAGACAGGAATAAGAAGTTGCGGTGCGTTACCATACAGACAGGGGCTATGGTCAGTAACAGGCCCTACTGTGTACTGTAAGGAATGGTAAGTGTTTGAAGCTGTGATCACCACTCTATCACTGATTTTTTTGGTATTTATAAAAAGATATTCTTACTTACCTTTAAGCATAAGACAAGATGCCCAAACTTTACAAGTATTAACTTCTTTTATTAAGGCACTTTACAAAAGATTTTTAAAGAAAAATGACAAAGTTAGCAGTAAATGCTACCATGCCCCCCCCCACCCCCCATGATGACCCAGTAGGTAGAGGCTGCTGTGAAGCCTAAGGACTGTGATCCTTGGGACCCACGGGGAGGAAGAGAAAAGTGACACGTGTGTGCATGCACACACATGCACGCACACACATATGCACACACATGCACGCACGCACACCATAGGCTTCAAGTGTAAAATGATGGATGAAATAAGAAAGAATATTTAATCATATATTTTTGAAGGGTTATTTTGAAACAAAGTAGCCCTGTTGTTGTATTTCCTTTTGCCTATCTTACATTAAGTCTCAAAATGAATCTAGCAACGTAATTTCTTCTTTCATCAGCATAGTACCTGGGTGCTTGCTAACCAAGTGTAAATATAGTGTGTTAAATTACAGATGCTCACGATTAACTTAAAAAAAAATAAAGTACAGACACAAGTAATTACCAAATATATTTTTCTCATTTTAGGAAAATATTATACTTCATTCCTAAAAAACTTCTACTCAGACACACTCAAACACTACGATTTCAAAGACTTGAGGTGAGGCAGTGAGCACAGCGAGGGGGTGAAAGCTCTTCAGATGACCAGTCTGATGCCGTATAAGCACGTGTGCCATTTCAAGCCTAAGAAACTGGGTTTAAAACCCACGGCCCAAACCACTGGTTCCCTTACCTCCCCAGCTATCTACTGAAGAGTCCCCTTCAGGGCCACTGCCCCCCAGCTATCTACTGAAGAGCCATTTCTTCAAATCTAACATTTACTAACTCAACAGATGGGTTTCAAGATGCGGGGTGTAATTTTCCTGTCAGGTCACTGGTTTTTATATGCAAAGGGAAGCTTTAAAAATATCGTAGAATATGTCTGAATCTGAATTAAACCGTTCTCAATATTTGTCTGGGGCAGGGTTTGCTAACAGCCTGCTTTTACAGACGAGTTTTAAAAAGATTTGCTATAGGTAGCAAGAAATGGTTTAAAATGGAAAAAGCTTTTCAAATTCCCAGCATGACGTCACTGCTGTTTCCTTTTCTTGTAAGAATCGCTGCTGTGGACTCGAACTCGCTGCTGCACAGAGGATGCGATTTTCAAGCTATCTTTCTTTGTGAAGGTCTTCTCCATTGCTCCAGGTTTCCAAAGCAATAGCTGTGCATCTTCTCCTCCAGTCAGCAAAGAATCCTCGGACACGTTCCAACAGAAAGAACGGACGGTGGCTGCGTGGCCCCCATGAAGGCTGGTCACGTGGGTCAGCCCTGCCGCCGTGCAGCTCAGTAAGTGAATCTTTCCGGTGTTGGTCCCTCCAATAACAAACAATCTGTCCATCTTCTCATGATACAGGCCACCCATCAGATAGTCCAAATGCCCTTCTTTTACATCAGTTACTTCTCTCACGTCCTGGATACTCAAACATGTAATTGGTTCATCTGTATCCAGATGATTAAGATCCCACCAACAAAACCCTTCATCGTGTGTCATGCAGTAAATTTGCTTATAATCTTTTCCACACCAACCAATACAGCTCACCGATGAAACGGAGTTACAGGTGGCGACCAATGCATCCTCTTCATTAGCAACACTGAGATCAAACACATTTACCAGGCCGTCAGTTGACCCTGAGACAAGCATGTTGGGATTGCTGGGGTGGAAACGCACTTGAGTGATATCATCACTGTGCGTCTCTGAATAGGCACCAAGTGGGTCTCTAGTAGACAAATCCGGTGATGTGAACCTTGCATCCCAAAATACCAACAACGCGTCATCATCAACTTTCTCTGCACCAGCACAAATGACATGATCTTTGCAGTTGACATCAAAACTGATAAAAATATTGGAAGGGTAACCCTTGAACAACTGCGCAGGCTTTTCACTAGCTAACCGAGCATCCCAGCACTTTACAGTGCCATCTGTGCTTGCAGAATAGACATTGTCACAGGAATTCGCAAATCTGACTCCATTAAGAATACCAGGAGAGCCACTAAATTCTCGTAGCAGATTAAGTGTCTCTTTATCATATATTCTTATGGACCCATTTGAACACAAAACAGCAACCAAGCCTCCTTTTTCTGTTTGTACTGTCTTTGATGTGTCTATGCCAAGCAGGTAAGTGGGCTCTTTTGGTTCCGAGGACCGTCTAACAATATGCAGGTTAGCAAACTGGTCCTCAATCTTCTCCATGTCAGTAGAAACATCCACAGATATAAAACTCTGTAATAAAGATATGAAAATTAAAATTAAACTCGAGTTTCTCTAAAAGTGCATCTAAGTCCAAGCCCTTTGGGGTTGGTGCTCCTGAGCGTCTACTGTGCAGAACCCAGGCCTGAGTCACTCAGAAAGGCACCTCTCCTTTTGCCGTTTTCTTCCAGATGCTGTGTAATCCCTGGGCACCCTTTCCTGACCTTTCTCTGATGCTCCTAACACTACAGCCACTTCTGCGATGCTGATATTTCCAAGGCTCCACTGCAAAGCTATGACTTTCTCTTCCTTATCTCCTTCTAGGAAGTTGCCACAGACTTGTTAGTTTGCCTGTCCTTAATAGGTTATGTCTCTGCCACTGAAATGAGCCAATTCAAACCAGATTAGATTATATATAGGAAGGTTTATTGGGAAGCTGCTCTCAAGCCAGTTCACTGGCCCCAAGGATTGAGGCCAGGGTAATCACCATGGGGAGGGCAGGAAGGGGAAGAGAAAGGGCTCTTGAAGGAAGAGAGAGG